AACCCCATCTTAGGAGATGGGGAATCAACTCGCAACAAATAGGCCCGCCCCGATCGGTGAAAATGCAACATAAATAAGCGCGAAAGTACTTGTTCCCTGGGGCAGCCGGCGGGGGCGAGGTGGAATAGCGCGACGCCCCCGGGAGACCCGCGACGGAATGCGGCTGCCCCATGGGGTTTTGCCCTCCCCCTGCCCCACGCACCCTTGGGATGAGAGCCCGGCCGCCTCCCGGCGCTAGGCGGGCGGGTGGGCGGGCGGGGGCGCGGCGCCAGGCGAGGGGCGCGGCCGCGCGGCTCAGCAGATGACGCTTGCACCGCGCCACCCCCCGCGGCGACGTACCCAAGAGAGTTTCGCCGACATGGGGCGGTGCCTCCTCAAGGGCAATGACACTGCGGAAAAAGGCCGCGGCCCCGAAAGGGGCCCCAGCCGTCGCCCCTGATGGGGGGGCGCACCGAAGCCCCCAACGGCGGCGGCCGCGCGCAGTGCTCGCAGGCCCGTCAAGCATTTGCCCAACCGAAAACCGCAGTGGCAGAGGCTGCGCGTCCTACTTGCACACCCCATCGCACGCTTCGTGGCCCCACAGGCGACTCCGTCGAGGCCGCGGTAGCAGCGGCCGCGCGCGGCACTTGCACCCCCTCGGCTCCATCAAAGGCCCCAGCGGCATGAGCCGCGCGCGGCATTTGCGCACCCGTCGCGCGTTCGATGGCCCGAAAAAGGAAACCCGCCAAAGGTCCCAGCATCAGGGGCCGCGCGCGTCCTTGGGCACCGCTCGCGCGCGTCGTGGCACCATCAGGGGCCTTCACCGAAGGCCCCAGAGGCGGCGGCCGCGCGCGGCACCTGCAGAACCCTCGCGCAGTTCGCGGCTCGACGGAGGACCCCGCCGAAAGCCCTAGCGGCAGCAGCTGGGCGCGGCATATTTGCGCAACTGTCACGCGTGTCGTGGCCCCACAGGAATCTCAGCTGAAAGCCCCGACCCCGCTGGCACCGCTCGCGCGGCGGCTCTGGCTCATGTCGGCGCGCCCCTGTCACGCGCTCCCTGTCCCCCAAAGAAATTCCACCAGAAACTGTGATCAGAACTGCAGATGGGCGGGCCCTTCGCCGATAATTTGTTGGACGCGCACGGGCGACGCCAGGCCCCGCGCCGCGCCAATTCATGGCACGCCCCCGCGGCGAGAGACCCCAAAACTGAACCATGGAGGCCGATCCCGCGCGCCGCTGCAGGACGCATGATCGCCCTGACCTGCCTTGAAAATCGGCTTTCCGAGCAAGGCACTCGCTGCTCGCCGCAAACACCGTTTGCGCTTGAACGCTTGCCCATCATAGCACAATGCCATGAAACTTACACATGTCGAATATAGGTTGTTGCTCACCTATTGTTGTAACCTATGTTACGGCTATTTTGAAATTATTCAACATACCAACACCTCTCCATATTACCTTCGTTCTAACGGCTGGTACGTGCGAGGGTCGCAGGGGTAGCTTCCGAGAATACTAACGCATGCTGGGGTGAGCCACCCTCTGTTTGGGCGCGCTCGGGTGCGCTTCTCTGCACGGCGCCGTGCATGTACAAGAAATGTGCCAGGTACGGGTTTCGGGGCTGGCCGTGAGCTTCTAGGAAATATCAAGCGAGAGCCTCATTTTGAAAAGGCACGCCGTCTATCCATCCGTTTAGCCGCTACATCCGTTGAGCGCTCTGGCCTTACAACTCAACGAAGCAGTCCGCCGACCCTTTGGGGTCTCTAGGCGTGTGAGAATCCCCAAAACCCCCAAACGGGAAATGTGCCCCTCCCCCGGGCCCCGGACGACCCCCGGACGACCGCACCATGGGAGGACAGAGGCTCCTAAAACGCGCCAAGAGGGCCAACAAAGGCTCCCAAAACAGTCCAAGAGGGTCCCGAGTCGCCGAAAGATCGCTGCGAGACGCCCTGGATGGCCTCCAGACGGCCGGAGAAACGCCCAACACGCCGCAGGAAGTCTCCAAGAAACTTCCACGAGCCCCCCAAGAGGCCAAAATCATTGATGTCCCATAAGTTTTCGAATGCTCTTGGTTGTCTCGCCTTCTCGGCGCGCCCGCGCTCCAAGACAGCCCAAGGGACCCCCAAGATCGCCCCAGGACGGCCCAAGAGGCCCCCAAGATGGCCCCAAGACGGCCCCAAGAAGGGCCCCGGACGGGGATCACGAACCGAAAATTCGAGTTTTCCGCTCCGAGAGACGCCAGCAACGCCCCAGAAAGCTTCCAAAAGGCCCAAAAGAGGCCCGAAAGAGGCCCGACAAGGCCCCCACCAGGCTTCAAAGCTGCCTCCAACAGGCCCCGAGAAGCTTACCACGAGATCCCAACGAACAGTCAAGAGCCCTTTGACCCGCTACCCAAACACTGTGGCGGGATGGGCCGAAGGCGATGTAAGATTCAACGGCTGGGGAGCCCGAAGAGGGCTTCCAGAGGCCGACATTGAGGAAAAACCTCCCCAGATCGACAATCTACAAAAGGCCTTCTATTCCACTTGCCCCTGGGCCCCCGGCTGCGGCAGGCGCTCATTTCCTCCTTCACTTTCCCCTCCCCTTCCTCTTCCTCTTCCTCTTCCTCATTCTCCTCCTCCTCCTCCTCCTCCTCCTCCTTCCTCCTCCTCCTCCTCCTCCTCCTCCTCCTCCTCCTCCTCCTCCTCCTCCTTATGTTCCTCGACATTCGATTTTCCGACGTTTGTCGTTTTCCGTTCTTTCTCAGAGGTACTACCCGAAACAGCGCCCCCCGCCCCCCAATTCGACCAACTATGATGATGATGATGATGATGATGATGATGATGATGATGATGATGATGATGATGATGATGATGATGATGATGCTGATGATGATGATGATGATGATGATGATGATGATGATGATGATGATGATGATGATGATGATGATGATGATGATGATGATGATGATGATGATGATGATGATGATGATGATGATGATGATGATGATGATGATGATGATGATGATGATGATGATGATGATGATGATGATGATGATGATGATGATGATGATGATGATGATGATGATGATGATGATGATGACGACGATGATGATGACGACGAAGATGATGTTATTACCATACTCGTCGTCCTCTGATTTTCCTTAGGCTCGTCCATCATATTTCGCTCTCACCCGCCCTGGTCCTCCACGGAATTCGCTACTTGCACAGACATTGCCGAAGCGATTCCCCATATGGTCACCCGAACCGCTCTCATTCACAGGACTTCCACTTAAAGGTTCAATTCTTCTCGACGCGCACGACGTGCCCAACCGTCACGGAGAACGCCTGCTTCGGCAATTTTGTCCTGCACCTGCCGTTGCACTGATACGCCTGCTAACTGCTCGCTGTGAACCCGGGGAGCGGACGGGGAGGATGGAGGAGGTAGGGGAGAAGGGGGGGACCGACCCTTTTAAAGCGTTGGATAATGGCCTCCACAACTGACCTACTTGGAAGAGATCCGCACTAAACTCTCCCTAGGAGAGGCCAGCGCGGACTTCGGACCCCCTTCAAATGCACCTGCAATTACGATCGGGTCCACTCCGGCCACTCGCAAGGAGGGGTCAATGCGAGCCCCCAGTGATTGGAACCGTCACTTGGTGGGTCTGAAAATACAAAAAGTCCACACTGGCTCTCCTCAAGGAACACCAAACCAAACCTCTCTTAATAGGACCTGCTATGCTCATGGAAACTCCGCTTTGGCTTCCCCCAGGGAAGGAGGAGAGGGAGGAGGAGGAGGGTGAGGAGGAGGAGGAGGAGGGAACAAACTCCCTCGTCCGTAGGGACCCAGCGGACGAGGTAGGGAGGGAGAGAGGAGAGCCAAGTCGGACGAACGGGGGGGAGGTAGCAAAGGGGAGGCCCCGACATCATCTGCGTGCAGTGCAGCTGGTCTCCCCTGCTCTTGCCGACGCCGGGGGCGACAGTGCCTCGAGGAAAGCGCCGGGCGGCGGTGCCGAAACCCGCTGCGCGCAGCAGACGTCGCATCGCCTCCCCCTCCTCCGCATCCCTGCCCTCGCCGTCCATCCCGGTCCGGGCCCCCGGGCCTCGCGTGCCCGGGGGGGCCCGCCGCACACGACGGGAGGCGCCGCCTACGAAGCAGGGGTGGTGGGTGGGATGACCTCCCCCCTGGCGCGGACAAATGTCGAGCAGGGACCGACCGTCCCGGCATTCCTACATTCCGACCACGACATGTTCTGAGAACCCCCCCAAAAATGTTCTCGGAACATAACCAATGGTCTCCGAACATAACTAATCCCGATGGGTTAGAACAAGGCGGTCTCGGCCAGAAGTGTTCCAAGAAGATCCCGTGCGACCCACGAGGAGTTCTTAGAACAGTCCTCGCTGGGCCCATAGGCACGCCGGGACGCTGCGCCACTGCTTGAACACGGGGCCCCCGACAAGAGACAATGGTCGGACGGCGGTGATCAGACCACTCGGGGCCCGTGCGCGCCCACGCTCGCCGTCGCTTCGGACGTCCATTTCCCGTGCATTCTTCGGTTTCGCGCGTGTTTTTTTCTGCTCCTTGGTCGAGGATGGTCCTCGATGGTTCTCGCCGAGAAAAAATGCACACGTCCAAGCGATGCCAGGCACGTGCAGAGGGAGGCACTGGCTCTTGAGCGCGACTCTCGGCGCGGGCGCCTCTGCGCCCCACGATACGTGGGGAGGGGCAGGAGGGCGGGGAGGCAGGAACGGTGCGGCCGAGAGGGGGCGGCGGCTCCCCAGAAGTCTGTGAAGGGGCTCCAGGACACACAAATAATTACACACAAATAAAAGGATTCCCCATATTTTCCCATATTTTCTGGGTTTTCGTCTTTCCCCCCACTTCCCATCTTTTCCCATATTTTCATGGGAATCGACGATTAATTGTGTCTGTGTGTGTTTTTTCCCCTCCTGACAGAAGTCTGGACCGCCTCCCCGAGACCGGCGGCTCACCCCGAGCCGCTTCTGGACGGCCCCGGCCCCCCCCCCCCCAGAATCGAAGTGCAGACCGCCCGCCGCGATTTCTGTCAGGGCCCGAGGGCGTCTGGGCCGGGCGCCGCAAACGCGCCCGCGATCACGACTGCGCCCTCGGCCCCGCCGAGCGGCGCCACGTACGAGACGATCTGCTCGCCGGTCACCGGGTCGGCGTACGGCGGCGTCCAGGAGCCGCCAGGGGGAGAGCGCAGGCCGTGGAGGAACCAGGGGCGCTCCTCGACGCTGTAAGCCCCTCGCCAGCCGTACACGTGCGCGGCCGAGAGGTCGACGCCGGCGTCGGCGACGGCGGCGGGCTCGGGGGCTGCCGGGGGGCCGCGCGCCCGAGGGGGGAGGCAGAGCGGGCGGGCCCTGCCAGAAGGCTCCGGAGGCCTCCGGCCGTCCGAGGAGCTTCCTGCTCCTCCTCCTCCTCCTCCTCCTCCTCCTCCTCCTCCTCCTCCTCCTCCTCCTCCTCCTCCGCCTCCTCCTCCTCCTCCTCCTCCTCCTCCGCCTCCTCCTCCTCCTCCTCCTCCTCCTCCGGCCGAGGGGCCTCTGGGGAGCCCCGGTGCCTTCTGAGAGCACTTGCCCCCCCCGTCGCTTGCCCCCGCGGCGCGCCGCCGAGCCAGCAGAGTCCCTGGCCCAAGGTGCCCCCAGGATCTGCCGGGGAGGCCTCCACGGTCCCTGGCCTTCTCGCGAAGGTAAGGCCTTGCCCAAGTCCGCGGGCGCCAAATGGCCCACGACAGTCACACGCCGGTCGAGCAAGCGGTGGGGTGCACCGGGAGCGTATTGAGGCACGAAGGCGAAGGAGAACAACAGATGGCGAGGGGGAAGGGGGAGGAGCCCGCTCAGACTATGAAAGCTGGCGCGGAGCTAAAAACAGCACCATCAACAACATGTCTTTGGCCATGCTCGGCCTCTGAGGGCCCACACCTGGCCCTGTGGCCGGCAGGAAACGACTCGGGGTCAAGAGGCTGGAAGTGGCCGAGACCTCCCTGGGCCCACGTGCTGTGCGAAAGCCACGACACTCTGGAGCCCTGGAACCTCCAGATCGGGGGTAGGGGGTCCACAGCCCTGAGGTGAAGCCAGCAGTCGTCCTGCTCTCTGGCACTCTTCCTGCTGCTGGTCTGGTGGAGGCCAGTCGACGTTACGATGGAGTTGTGAGGGGGGTCGTCCGTCATTCCACTGCTTCTCCGAGCTCCTGTTTGGCCAGGCTAGCTGGGCCCGCGCGCGCGGGAGCGACTGACGCCGCGGGCGCCTCGCCCGCCCAGCGGCGTGCCCAGGAGGAGAAAGGCGGGGTAGAGGCAGGGGTGGGCTTACAGTGAAGGCCAGTCCACCAGAAACCTGCCACGAGAAGCCCAATCCTGAGACCCCAGAACGTCCATTGATTCTTGGTGTGGGAGCGTCGCGCTTTCCACGGCAGAACCATCGAACCCCGAGAGACCCAGGGCACCCTGGAGGCAAGCCGGGTGTTTCTTGGCATGGGCATCCAGTGTAGATGCTCGCTCGAAACGTCTCCTGGAAAAGAGAGCGTGAGCAGGCAGCTGGGTTCACTCCCTGACCACAGTTTGGACGCCCGAAATGGGCACCGAAAAAATGGGTACGATGCCCAACAACAAATGTTGTCCCAAACCGACAGCGGCCGCTGTTGGACAGGCGGCCCTCTGTCTCGAATGGACACAAGCCGCGGCGGCGTGGACAGCGGATCCTGTCCAAATTGAACAGGAACTGCTGTTGGGCATTGTACCCATTCTTTCAGTACCCATGTCGTGCGTGCAGACAGGGGCTCTCGCGCGGCCTGCAGGGCCGGGGGCACCCTGTGGGCCAGGAGCGCCCCTGGAACGGGCCCGCCATCCTGCGCACGAAAATATGATGCGCGTGCAACCGTTTGCCAAAAATCATCACTCTCCAAGAACCCTCTGCACAACAGGGAACGAAACTCCCACGCGCGCGTCTTCGCGCGCGCACGCCGAAATCCTTCAACAAACTTCGATTTCGTAAGGATTTCAAAGTCGGGTCCTGAGGAACACGGGTCCTGTGACAACGTGGAAGTAACGTGAAAATCCAAAGTCGTATTATGGTTGTAACAACGTGGTTATGTGTAGCAATAAATATCAGGGGCTATGTAGCAATATCATCATTGACAGTGATAATAATAGAATGACTAGATTATTGAGTATGTCATGCTGGACCCAGGGCGTCCCCCCCCCCCCAGGACCGGCTTCTCCTCCTATAGGCCGCTCTCCGACGGCCCCGGGGCCCGTGCCTAGGCCCCTGGAGAGGCCCCAGAGGACTACCTGCCAGACCACCCCAGCCCAACCCGAAGACCCGAATTTCGGGTTGGGGGGGGGAAGGGTTCCACATGTGTTTTTTCGATGTTTCCCGCCCCCCCCCCCACTGGAAATCGAGGGTAAATCTGAGCCTTCGGGTTGGGTTGGGGTGGTTTGGTGGGTGGTGACCAAGAGCGCCGAAAGAACCTCAGGACCCTCCTCCCTCAGGACCCGCTTGCCTTCATGGGCAGACCCCTGGCGGCCCCCGAGGAAGCCGGGTACGCGCGGAAGCAGCCGTCGCAGCGCGGCCAGCCGACGAGCAGGTCGCGGCCATACGCGTACTCGCCGCGCTCGAGCGCCGCGCGGTCCATCAGGTAGACCGCGTAGTACTCGCCGGGCAGCGCGAAGCCGACGCACTTGCTGTGCAGGGGCGGGCCGCCGGAGTACGGCCGGCGGCGCGCACGAGGGGGCCGGGGCCGCCGATCTCCGATCGGCTGCACGCAGCAGTGACATATATTTGATTGCTAGTACATAGGATGTTTTTAAGTATTGGATTTCTAATACACGACTAATGTATGCATAAATGCAGGCAGGAACTCATCGTTGTTTCTGATACTGAACGCCTGCCTGTTTAATACATGATCCGCACGCGGAGCATGTACTGAAAACGGCACTGTGGGCAAGAGGGGACCTCTGGTGCGCGGCTCGACCCGCGGCGCGGGGAGGCCAAACCCACGCGCGCGGGCCGGTGCTGTCGCATCGCGCTCGGCGGTCAAGCTGGACGAACATCCTCCAAAGAGCACGAGGCCCTCCGCCGGCGCAGAAACACGGCACGTCCGAGGGCACCCTGCCCAGGGTGCACCAAAGCACCCCACGAGCACCGAGCACATTAGGGTACTCCAGACTTCGTAATAAAAGGGAGGGGGTCTGGACCCTCCAAGACAAGCCATTTCAGACCCCCGCTCGTGGGAGAACCCTCGAAAACATCGTCCCCAGACCCCCCCAGGTCCTCCAAGACAGCCTGGAAGAGACCCCCCCCCGAAATGAGACCCCCCTCCCTTTATTACGAGACCTGGAGTACCCTCCCCGAACCAACCTCGAGCCGATGCCTCGGTCCGACTGTGCCTGTCGTCGCGGCCCGGCGATGTGGCTCTTTCGCTCCCGGCGCTGTTCCTCGATGCTGGCCTCCAGGGCCCGCTCTCGGGCCTCGGGCGGGGCGTCGCTCAAGGGGGGGGGGGAGGAGGAGGAGGAGGAGGAGGAGGAGGAGGAGGAGGAGGAGGAGGAGGAGGAGGAGGAGGAGGATGTTGAAATGGACACTGTCCCCCTGGCCCCCCCGAGCTGCCCCTCTCACGCCGACGCCGATTCGACCGCAACCGTTTCGGTTTCAGAGCTCTTGAGTTTCGGGCAGAAAGGACTTTCAGCTTTCTCTCGACGGCGGCAGCCGTCAGTTGATGGTAAGCGGAGCGGACTGGTTCGCCACGGTCTGCTCCCGCCTCCGCGGCTCGCGGGGGACTGCTTGGCGCGCCCCGTGGCTGGGGCTGCTGGCCAGGCCCGCAGGGAGCGGGCTCGGCACCACGGCGCAGGTTGTGGCGGACCTGCACAAGCTGGACCACCAGGGCGGGGTCTGGCACCGGCGACGCTGCAGCATCGCGTTCGCCATCATCACGAGCTCGATCGTTGCTGCCCTGGCGACCAGCAACACCACGAGCAGCACTACGAGCAGCACCACTGCAACTCCAAGAAGTGTCATGGCGCGAGCTTCGCGTCTCACCTTCGAGAAGGACATCCCGCTCTACGACGGCGACCCAGCGCTGTTCGAGGAGTACCAGGAGCGGGCTAAGGACGCCTTCTACGGTCGCATGGGCGACGAAAAGCAGATCGCGACGCCAGTCAACCTCAGGAATGGTCTCTCGGGCACGGCCTACGACGCCGTGAGGTCGCTGAAGCACGAAGACTTGCTCACGTACGAGGAGGAGACCCTCGAGAGCGGTGGCAAGGGCGGCGGCACAATCACTCGCAAGAGGGCGACCACCGTGGGCCTGGAGATGCTACTGCGAGTGCTCGGCGAGTCGGTCTTGAAGGAGAGACCTGTTCGCGCGGCAGAGCTCTTCGACGGTGCGCTTTACGATAAGTCCGTGTGGAGAGGCTCTGGCGAGAGCATGCAGGAGTACATCACGAGGCGGACCAAGGCGTTCGACGACCTCAAGAAGGTCTCGCAGGAGACCAGCATCTCGGACGACCTCCAGGCCTACCTGCTGCTGAAGTTCAGCGGGCTCGACAAGTCGGACCACGCCAGCATCATCAGCAGCGCGGGCAATAAGTACGACAAGGAGGCGTTCGCCAAGGCGCTGCGCATGCAGCACTCGGGTATCCACGAGCGGGAGCGGAACTACCGGAAGGATGGCAAGCAGGAAGCGCACCGCTCGGACCCGAAGCCGCAGAGGTTCCAGCAGGGCCAGTACAGGCAGCGGCAGGCGTGGCAGGCCGAGCGTGACGACGAGCACGAGCACTACGACGACAACGACCACCAGCTCGACAACTCCTACGACGACCAGCCCCTGGAAGAAGAGGTCTATCTGGGCGAGGAGGAGGCCACTCTCGAGGAGATCGATGAGATGGACCCGGAGGCGGCGGAGAGCTTCGCGGCGATCGTCCAGAACAAGCAGAGGTTCCAGGCGCGCAGCGGCGGTCGCGGTAAGGGAGGTCGAGGACGTAAGGGCGGAGGTCGCGGCGAAAGCAGTTCGAGCTCGAGGGATCGAGCCAGAGGTGGAGGTGCTCCCGGTGACAACGGTGAGCGGCGTGCCAGGATCGAGAAATTGAAGCGGACTACGAGGTGCGCCAGCTGCGGGCAGATCGGACACTGGCACGGCGACCCAGGCTGCCCGAAGTCATCGAGATCGGCGGCACCACCATCGGACCGGCCGAAGAACAGCTACTTCAGCTTCAGCGACTTCAAGGGCGACTGCCCCAAGACCGGCGAGGTCAGGATCGCGGAGGTGTTCGTGGCGTTGGCGGCTTCGCCCTTGCCTACTGGGCTCGGCGCCCGCCCTAAGCCCAAGGCGAAGCCACGCGGCAGCCCTCAAGGGGGCAAGGAAGGTGACGAGACCCTCAAGGCCAGCGCGGACGACGGAGCTGCGGGACTCCCGAGGAGACGAGGCCAGTCACTTCCAGTCATGGCGGAGCCCTGCGAGCACGCGCTGGCGGCGGACCCCAGACTGTTCAAGGGCGCGAACGGGACGCACCGGTACCTCACTTGCCACTGGTGCCTGCCCAACCGGATCGGAATCCACGTGGCCAAGGCCCGCAGGTCTAGTGGCGAGGAGCTATGGAAGTACCTCGTGGCCACCCTACTGTTCACCCCGAGAGGCAGGATCATCTACTCGCGCACCACCCCAGCGAAGACGAAGCATGCCGAGAGAGTCTTCAAGGTGTACCAGAGCATCCCTAAGTCCAAGGAGATGGCGCCAGAGCTGGTGACCAAGCCCGCGAGGGAGATGAAGCCCGCGAGGGAGATGAAGGTTCCGTCTGACGACGAGGAGCTTGAGCAGATCCCGGGGATCGAGGACTACCCGCACGAGCTGGACGGGCCTGGGGAGGAGGACAGCGTGTACGTGGCGTACCCCGCGGACTTCGACCAGGACGTCAAGGGTCTCGATACCGAGCAGGTACCACTCGGCGGTGAGAAGATCATGGCCGGCAAATACAGGGGCTACGCGTTCTCCGAGTTCGTGGACGGCGGTGACGCTGCGCGGGCGTACGGCAACGCTCTCATCAGGCACGCGATGTCCAGCGACCCGACTCGGCTCACCGTCGACCAGTACCGCTTAGCCTGGTTCCTTATCTACCTGATGGCGCTGGGCGAGTGGGACCCCCCCTCTCAGCATGAGGACGGGCCGTTCCAGGTGCTGATGGTCAACGGCTCCAAGGACGACGTCGAGGCCTACGGCTCCAGTTCCAGGGACCCGCCTGGCACCGCTGTGCTTGACACAGCCTGCCAGATGACCATGCACGGTACGCCCTGGAGGATCAGGTACGAGAAGGAGCTACTCGACCGAAAGCTCAAGCCGATTCCCAGGTCCCAGCGGACCAGGTTCCGAGGGGTCGGCGGCGATGCGTACAGCGATACGGTCTACAACATGCCGGCCGGGATCGCCAACAACCCGTTCGCGATCGAGTCGGCGGAGCTCGATCAGGACGCCCCCCTGCTGATCTCCAAGGACACCCAGTCGAAGCTAGGGACGGTCATCGACGTGGCTAACGCGGTCGCCGACTTCACGAAGATCGGCGCCTACAACGTCCCCCTGTTCAAGACCAGCGGCGGCCACCTGGGCGTCAGCTTGCTGGACTTCCCGGATCCCAAGGTCTTCGGCCCAGAGTTCCAAACCTACATCGTCGAGGACGGGTTCGGCGGCGGCTTCGACATGACGGAGTACCCGGAGGCGGAGATCGTGATCCCGACCGCGGAGGTCATGGCGACGGAGACGGTCTCCGAGAACCCCAACGAGATCGACTGGGACGGCGACCGGTCCATCAGGATGGCCAGCACCAGGCGTGCTAAGAAGATGAAGGCCATGCATGACGACCTGTACACCATCGAGTGCAGGACGCTCGACATTATGACGGGCAATATCGACAGGAAGCGGAGGCTACCTAGAGGCAAAACCTTGCTGAAGCAGCTCTTCTGCGGCCAGTTCGGCCTCACTCTACTCGCCTCCACCTCCTTCGGCTACAACTGCGGCCAGCCATTGGATATCGAAGACGGCTGGGACGGCGCTACCAGGAAGGGACGCCAAGCGGCACGGAGGCAATTGTTGGAGGAGGACCCCTACGTGACGGTCATCACCATGCCCTGCGGCCCGTGGGGGGAGTGGGGTCGATGCAACTTGTCCAAGGGCGGCGCTGCAGCCGCTACTGTTCAAGAAGCTCGGGAAGCGACGAGGCCACTACTCATGCTCTCGGATCAGATCGTCGCCGACCGGGTGAAGCGCGGGATGCACGTGCTGATGGAGCAGCCCCTCGGGTCTAGTGCCTACTTCGAACCCGAGATGGCGAAGACGCAGGAGCTGATGAAGAAGGGCCTCCTACTGGAGTGCACTCCGCACGGGTGCCAGCTCGGCTACGCCGACGAAGAGACCAAGGATGCACACTACAAGCCGATGAGGTTCTTGACCACCAGCGTGGCGATCTATGAAGCCTTGCAGGGCGAGAAGTGCACGAGGGATCACTACCACCTGCCGTTGGAAAACCAGAAGAAGACAAGAGTGGCAGCAAGGTGGCCCGACAAGCTGGACAGACTGGTACTACGCGCCATCGAGCAGCAGATCGACCTCGACATCGACACACACGTATCCCAAGGTCTCGGTGTACTTGACAGTTTCCCAGTCGAGAGCCAGCCTGATGCCAAGAAGAGGAGGTTGCGTGGCAAGCAACCCCCGAAGCGTCCTCCAGCTGAGGACGGGAGTCAGGGCTTCCGTGAACCTGGGC